TGAGAAATGATGTACAAATGCGCTTTACACAATTGATGTGTGTATGGATTGGGATAACAGTTGTATGAGCCCCTAATAAAATGTTAAAAAAAAATTTTTTTTAAATAAATTGTGCAAGGAAATTATATTTAAAATTGTTACAATACTAAATATTAACTGTTTTAAATATGATAACAGGATTAAAAGGATTGTAAATAAAATATTAAAAAAAGCTTGTCTTAAAACAAGCAGCCATCAAAGTGAGAGATGAAGTAAATCTACATGGAAGAAGCACAATAGCCTGGGTGATCCGAGGATTGTATAATAAAATCCAAACCCAAAGGAGGGAACAGCATTAGAGCTTAAATTCTGAACAGCCAGTTTGCAGAAGGCTGTGGATGACAGTGGAAGCCCCAAATCCATCTGTAGGATCCCCGAAGGGATTAAGCCTCCATTGAATCCTCTCTGATCACACTCCAGCAATGTGAACAGCCTTGCCATCAGACAGAAAGCATTGTAAAGTTGACCATGGCAGATGTACTTAGGCTAACATGTAACACCTTGTGTTAGGCCGGGGTTGACTGGAGAAACAAATCCAGAGACACTCATCTATGTGTAAAGAAGAGCTTTGCATCAAGAAGTAAGTATATATCAGGTTTCCATAGCTTTTATGTCTTTATAGGAGTTGACAGCCTCAGCTTTCTTTCTCGGAGCAGCTGGTGGGTTCGAACCGCTGACCTTGCGGTTAGCAGGTCAGCGTGGGGCCCACTATCCCACCAAGGCTCCTCTTTTCTCCAAAGGAGATAGAAAAGTATGTTCAGAAGTCAATCAACAAGCTCTCATTCAGTAAGGAACATGTGGGGCATCGTGCTAAAAACCATGGATGTGGGGAACAGGAGGAAAGATGGGGAAGCAGATGTGGGTCACCCCTCCAGGAGCTTAATAAGAGAGATCACACGATATAGAACATCACATAGGGGAACGGATACCAATACTTCTCAAACATAATCAAACATCTGGCTTCCGAGTATTGAAAGCTTCAGAGCATAGTCTTAGGGGACAACTCAGGTTCAAGGGCACAGCCTAGTTCATAATGTGGTGAGTATCGTCTGGGGTCTTCAAAGCGTGCCCCTGGCCATCTAAGACACAACTAGTGGTCTCTACTCATCT